TAGTTTAATTAGTAGAATTTTGACAATTAAAAAAGTTTTTATTGTCAAAACTTCTTAACCCTGGGACATTAACACTGTCCCCGGGGGATTTTGTTTTCATTCTGTCTGTACTTTCACTTAACAAGTATCCTCAGATTCGATAAATATTAATTTCCTTCGAATTTATAAAATAAACAATTTCTACTGTTTCAATGTCTATCGATAAAATTAGTAAAAGAATTTTAGAACGTTAATATCACAGAAAATTAATAAAAAAAAAAGCCACTCAGAAGCCAAATTCTCGAAAAACTCAAATTCACAAAATATCAATTCTCCGAAACTTAATTTTATTATTAAAAACTTAATTCTTCAGAAATACAAAAAATTTAATAAATCCAATTTCACGAAGTTAATCACTTTGGCTACCGAGTGTCTCATATTACAGCAAACTTGGAAAATTTATATCCGAGAAATGATCTATAACATAGATTAAAAATTCTAGAAAAAGGAGAAACTAATCTTCGACACAGTTCGAGTAGAAAAATCACCGCGTTCCTTACACGCGTTTCTTGCACCGAGCAAGAAGAGAGGCGATTACAGGGAAAAAATTCCACGGGAAATTAGATATTCTCAGCTGGCAGGAAAATCGCTAATTACGAAGCTCGATGCAGCTAGCGTGAACCACGCGGATCTCCCTCGTCTGATCGCGATCCAGCATTGTACAAAAGGCAGTGTGTTTCTTCTTTTTTTCTTTGCACAGTGTTGGCCACCCTGGATATATACATACGCGATCTTTCGCGGAACGAACAGAGGCGCGGGGAACTATTAAAAATTCATAAAAGAAGCTCGTTAACAGGGCCGTACTCGCCTAACGACACATAATTAGCGAATTATCAAAATCGTTAACATTCAAGCGCGAGATTTAATGGATCTTAATAAGAAGGGAATTTAGAGGAAAATTAGATGAGCTTGCAAGGACATCGGGCCGGCAAAAGCGTAAACTGCTCTCGCAGTTACTAAGTGGCTAACGTAGCGAGGAAAGTTCCAGAATAGTGCATTTCTTCTTCTATCCGGTGAAATTATGTTAACGGAGGAAAGTCCGTGAACGAGAGTTGCTTTTTTGTTCAAATGTTAAGTTTTAAAAAACCTGCAATATTTTTGTATTTCATGTATTAGTCCTCTGTTCGTTTGCTCTGGATTATTTCTGTAGTTATCTGATGTAAGTAGAACCCATTTTTCAATGTAATCTACCCTAATCTCGATGCACTTAGTACAGTGTTTTATAAGTAGTTTTATTCCCTTGTAATAACAGTCCGAAGTATTTCTCTAGTGCTTCCGAGTAACGCGTAGTATGTTTGACCGGAAATTTACGATTGCCTGTACATCCTAGAATTTTCTAGAGTATCATTAGAAATGAAATACTGGAAGTGTTGCGTGAAATGTGAAAAGGCTAGAAATCCAATTTTTTTACTTGCGACTACCTTACTAAGAATATTACAGTAATTTCTACTTTCTCTCCGCTTTTTTACTAATTTTATCATTCCTCGTCACTATAGAGCAGCAACGCGTAAAAATAATACTATAGCCACAATTTATATATCTCTAGCTTAATCACGTGCCGCCAAATTTCCGTGCAAACATTTCTTCACAAACTTCACAAAACCCCACAGAAAATATTCCGACAAACCTCTAAACGAATTATTCCCGCTAAGCATTTGTCACAAGCCGCCGAGGTACCACAAAGATCGCTCTCCTATCCGGAATTTCACCGTAAATCAACCGGCTAAAATCGCGTTTCGTAAAATTTCCACGCATCGATCCGCTGGAAAACATGCGGAAGAAATCACACACGTGAAACAGCTTCTGACGCGAATTTTTCCCAGCGGCAAGAAAATGATTAATTATAAAGCTGGATGCAACCAGGTTGAGCTAGATTCGGTTCACCTGATCGCGTTCTGCAACGTTGTACGAAAGAGCGTGTTGTTGCGCAACCGTGGCCACTCTGTGCAATCTTTGTGGAATAATTGCCGGTTCGTGACGTATCGTCGGTCACGAGAAACAAACGGTTTCGTGGAAGCCGCTTTGCGCCGATTTGCATTGATTTTGCCTTGGGACGGCCAGACGCCTCCTCCTTCTTCCCGGCTCCGTCGCGAATATAATACGTGTGCAAGCGTCAAGCACTTCCGGTTCGCTAGGGGTGAAGAAGAGCGAGGACTCAAAGGGGCCGAGTGATTCCGCGACAAACGACGAACTCGCCCTAGAAATCAAAGCCCCTGCACACGTTTCCACGGATTTCTTTCTCTCCTCCCCCTTCTTTTTTCTTCAGCTAAGAACGAGGGAAACGAGAGCTCCGGTATTTACGAATTACGGATTATTAACTGGAAAGGAAACCGGATGTTTTGCTTCTTCGAGAAGTGGTATCGAAGTGTTCGGAAAATTCGATTCCGAAGATTCGAAAATTTTCTGCTTCGAGACGTTAGAAAATCGCGAATTTTTCAGGAGAATCACTTTGTCGATTAATGTGAAATCACCTTTGCGCTGATTTTATTTATTAGTTAAAAGAAATTAATATAAATTGCAGAATGAAGCTTTTGCAGTAACTTTATCATTGCAATCACGTGTGAATTGGCGCGTTAATTTAATTAATATATTATACACACTTGAATCTTTCTTTTTATATTCAGTCTGTTCGAGCAGCGAACTCTCACTGACAAATTTTCTGTCTGGTAGAAATAACGCAAAAATCTACCTGGCAGGGTGAAAGAATTGATGATATCTAACGAAGTAAAGTGTCTAATAAAGTCAATTACTGTTACTATTCTTCTCGCCATGAAATAGAATTTAATCTTCCTAAAAGCAGAATTTCATCGAAAACAGAGTATCTCAATCGAAATCTAATAATTCAATAAAGAATCTATCATCTTATCACCAGAAAATTCACGAAATACGATTAAGATCAAGCACACGCACACACAGGTCTCTCCCTTGATCCTCTCACATCGCATCCAAGCGAAATCCTCGATAATCGAGCATCGTTCTATAAAATGGCGTTACCAAAAAAACGCCTCTTTGGGGTCAGAGGATCTTAAAGGCTGCCGCGAACAAAGCGTCCTCGAACGTTCCTCGATAAGAAACACATAATGCCGTTCTTCGTGGAGATCAGACAGTACGCGACAATTGGCATTTGATGTATAGCCAATCTCGTGGTTCCGAGAAATTCCTATTTTTTCACGCGGACGATTACGTTCTTACGGCTAATATCATGCCATTATGCTGTTTCTTTGTAAATAATCTCGGTGTACTTAGGGTACGCTTACTTGTGCAGCGATGTAGGAATTTATAGCGAAAAGTGTGTCGCAGTAAGGACGTACGTTTGAAAAGAAGAAAAAAAAAAGAAAAAAGCGTGACATAATGACGTATTAAGTAAGAGGATTGACATTTTCGAACGCGAGAAGTTTCATCGGGTAGAAACGATGAACGCGACTTCTTTTTTTTTTTTTTTACATTAAAATATTATCGTAGACGACGATCGATCACACTTGGCCCACGTGTACGTGATCCTATTATGTCATGGTTTGCCGATGTGCGGTACGTGTAGTGGTAGGAATGTTTTGATTGACGACAATTGTTTCGCGATAATGGCTTGAATTGCGTACGGCAATAGCGGTCCTTCGATTGATTTGTAATTCAGGGGTTTTCATTGGAGACTATTAATTGACGCAAATATAAAGCAACACAAGTGTATGTGTGTATGCACGTTTATCTTTTATCGATTAAAGAAGTTTATCTATTAAGATTTTCTCCTTGAAGTATCGAACGTTATTGCATACTAACCTGATTTTTCTCACGATAAAAAATTCTTCTATGAAAACTTACACGTTGTGGAATAGCAACGTAATTTCAGGAATAGGAAATAAAGGAATATGTAAATTTCGAATGTAATAACACGATAACGCGGTAACAAGTTAGCGAGAAAATATAATACCTTGAACTTAGTTGGTACAATTTAGAACGGATGTTACATGTATGTATATTCCCATGTTAGTCAACATCGATCTCTATCGAAGCGATAAAGTCAGATCGATAAAAAGTGTAGAAACCATTCCAGTCACAACGTACCGAATAAATCATCTGTGTTGTATCGCTAACAGCCGAGAAAGAAACAACAATGTAATACCTACTCAAGATTAATCGATCATCGTTCACAATTTCATTTCACGTCTCTAAGAATGCATTAAAAGTAACGGTAATAAATTACCACTAATATATTTTGCACACGTTTGCCTTTCTATTTAATAAATACCTTCGCATAGCGTTACACCGATACGTGAAACACAATACTTAATTTCGTAATTCCGATAGAAAAGAGAAAAATTCAGATCAGGCATTGTTCCATTAGACATGTTTAAAATACATTTTCGTTAACAAAACTTAAGTAAATTTAACACAGGATAGGATATTAACCAAAAATGTATTAAAGTATAGTGATAAGCGACTGCTAAGTGCTCCGGTGTCCGTCTCGCCCGACGGCTATTTCCAGAGTGTGCTCTCCGCGTCCTATCCTGCGTTGCTCGGGAAAAGCGTTGGAGCCCCCTCGTTCGACTTTCCGGGGAAAGGGCCTAGTTTATGGCACCCTCAGGTATCCGCGCGCTTTCTCTTCCTGGGTGACAAAGTCCAGGCCACCACTTCGCCGCCGAAATCTCGCATTTCTTACATTTTGTTCAATTATTCAATATCAATTCTTGCATGACATTACCGTAAAGGAGAATTAAAAAGAAAATATTGAAAAATTCATAGTTTAATGTGAAAAATATTCCAAATCAGTTACTATGCCATCAGAAATATCTAAACTAAATTTCGTTCAACTGTTCAAAATCAATTCCTGCATCACTGTACCATAAAAAGAGAAATATTGGAGAATTGATTAGATTAATGTAAACGAAGCTTCATTGATCGTTTTTTCATCCGAAATGAATTTCCACCATTAAGACCATCATGACTAATTGCCTATTCTGTTCCAGACTTAGGGAGCCCATTCTTCCCTGGTGGTCCTGAATTGTGGCATCATCCACTGGCGTACTCGACCACTGGCGAATTACCAGGCGCGCTGCAACACGCGACGCTGGTGCATCCGGCGTTACATCCTCAGGTCCCCGTACGTTCCTATCTTTGACTATCTGCAGACAAAGCTCTGGAGCCGCCGACGAGCGCCCCGATGCACGTTAGTGATACATGATCGTTATACTCGATTACTATACGATACATCTAGCAGGTAGACACGCATGTAGCGACCGCCGAGACTAGCGTTGACGGCTCGACGTGGTTCGTACAATGGGGTAACGTGTTCGAATACGATCCTTCCTCCCCTTATACACTCTCCAAGAGGATTTCGATAAGAGAATTCTTTTTCTTTCTTTTTTTTTTTTCTTCTTTTAATGGTATCTAGTGGATATAAAACTTTCGATCAATTTTTTTGAGGTACCTATGGTGGTTTTATAGTTACTTTCGAGTTAATAAGAGTTTTGCAGTAAAACTTTTGAAAAAGAGAAAATTATAAATGTTGGTGAATTTAGTCTGTTCTGTTTTAATGTAAATGAAACATGAACGGAGTTTTGGTGGATATTATAAACGTTACTGTGGCAGTGCCAGTGGAATACATAGGGTTATTAGTAATATTAATATTGTTAAGGTATAGGATGAGGTATTAAGTTGATGTTTGATCCTCAATTGATAGTACTTATATGGTGATTAATGTTTTCTTAACTTGCAATAATGCACTGAATTACAGTCAGTTGGTCGAGTTTCGTGACGAATACTTGGGAATAATTAGATTCTGTTGATATATTCAAGTAATCTGTATCATTAATTTTACAAGGTTCTGTTAAATTGATCGATCTGAAATTCTACGACATTTCTAACATTTCTAATCTAGAAATTTTAAGGAATGTATTATATCCATAAGATACAATAAAGAGAGAAATTGCGAAATACACAAATACACGAATTTCGGATAAACAATTACTAAAACTAAATACACATCACAGTGGATTAATATTCGTTAAAATATTCCTCGCTTAGAATTCAAGTGAAACATGAATCTTTCATTTCTCAGCACTATTTGCTCAATACATTATTGATCCCTTGATGACCTATTGTAAAAAAAGAACTGCTTAATTAGCATTCGTGAAGCATGTAACACACAGGAGTATTCGAACAAATTATCCCGAGAGATAAAAGAAAAAAACAAAAAGTCCATCTACTAGAGAAATTGAGTGGCGATTTAATGCTCCGTAAACCCATCGAAAAATCCACAAAAGTCAAAGCTTGAGAGCATGAAAATTGTTGAACCGTGGGACAAGGTGAACACGAATCTGGAGGAACCGCGCTCGTGCCGTGAATTATTCCATCGCGAGCGTGACGATATCGATTTTAACACACTCACCCCAACTTTCCATGCCCCCGGAAGTTAATTACTACGGCAAGTTAATCATCGCGACTAATATTAAGTTCCCGGGCTGTAAATAAGAAGAAACCGGTGTTCCTTCTTTCCCTTTGTTACTTTCTTTCTTTCTTTCTTCTCTCGTGTATCGGTAGAATTTTCGAGCAGGCTCGTACCGTGTCTGCCTGGTTTCCCGACAACAAGTAAGAACCGATGCTGGTACAGCCGGGTACGAATTAGCCAAACAGCCAGCAGATATTGATTTTTAATATCGCCTAGTCCTGTGCCAGGTTCACGCGGGTACCTATCGCGCGCGATCGCTAACTGTATCGAGCACACTTTTCTTCCTGTTCCGTGACAACGCGAAGAATTTCCATAGAAGTGAACGAGGGAACGAAAGAGGGAAATATATTGCTCGACTTGCGTATACGTGTGCGTCACGATAATGTCATTTTGAAATGGGGAAATTGGAGTTGGGTCGATTTTAAATATCGAAGTGAGTGAAAATGAGTGAGATTTTTGGTAGGCAAATTTTTGTGAAAGGGAAACATTGGAATTAGGTCGATTTTGAATATCGAAGTGAACGAAAAGTGAATGAGAAGATTTTGGTAGACAAATTTTTCTGAAATGGAAAAATTGGAATTTGGACGATTCTAAATATCGAAATGAACGGAGAAAGTGAAAATATTCGACTTGCATATATGCATCGTGATAATGTCCTTTAAAATGGAAAAATTGGAATTAGGTCGATTTTAAATACCGAAATAAACGAAGAAAGTGATGGGAAACATTTTGGTTGACAAATATTTTTCTAAAATGGAAAAATTGGAAATACAGTGTCAACTTGTCAAAATGAATTACGAGCGGTCAGAAATATTTGACGAACAAATTTACGATTTCACATATTTCGTGTTAGAAAATTGACAGCTTCGACAGAAATTCGAAAAAACGAAAAGCATCATTTGAATATTCTGCGATGAAAAATGGAATGTATCATTTTGCTTGCAATTCAAAAATAGCTGAAAATTAAACATTGTTTAGTGCAAAAAGAAATCGAAACTATTATCAGGCCGCGTTTCTATTCCTAAACCAATTACAAAATAATTACTCGTAGAAAACAGTTTTTCGGTTAAAATATCAGTTCTACGAGGATCGTTGTTTCCAATTGCTTGGCGATTATCCATTCGATAATCCAACTTTTACCCATCCAACGATGAAATAAATTTCGAACTACACTGAAGAAAAATTAAGAGGAAGTTATTCGATCGCGTCAAAGAAACAGTTCACTTAGAAACTGTTTTTTCTATCGTCAAATTAATACAGACAAACTTTAACGTTCATTTAATTCCTTAACGCGGCATCGAAGAAGCATTCGTTCCCGACTTGGAACGGCCGTTTCAGCCACTTGTAAATACCACTATTTTATCCGCGAAAATAAAAATGTTCCGCAGAATCCACTTGACGTAATAATGAAGCGGAAGCTCGAGTAAGTAGAGGATATTTCACTCGTGAACTTTGCATTCTGCTTTCAGAAGCATTTCTATAGTGACTCGAGATTTTCATAATTCTGTTCCTGTCCGTGACATTCTTTTCAAAAAAGGAAAAAAATTAGTCGAGGAAAAATTGGTATTAAAAAAAAGTCCATTCAAACGAAAGACTCCGTTCGTTGTTGTTTACAAGTAAAAAAAAAGAAAAGAAAAGAAAAGGTACTTTCATCTTCGTCGAATTACTGTTTCGAAACTGTTTTCGCGAAAATTAATTTGTTTATCGTCGGAAACGTGTTTCTATAAAAATCCCTGTGAAAGGAAACGATTTTTCTGTGCATATTTACGTACGCGAATATCTGAAAAATGAATGTTTTCGTAGGAAAAAAATTAGTTTTCACACTCGTCTTACGTGGACGACATTTTCTAACGTGGAAAATCAAGGAGAGTCGGTTTAGCGAGCAACGACAAAAGAAAACGCGGTAACGATGCAGCAATACAGGATTTCCGAGGCAAGTAGCGCAATATATAATTGCACGGACATTATACTAACAGCGGCATAACGTGAAATTACGAACTGATTGCGCGACGCAGTGCTCGCTAGTGAAGATAATTTCTGTTAGTCGCGAGTGTTATTAAAGTATCGCGGATTCTTCTGTGTACTTTGTACGTACAATGTGACACAAAGTATTCGAGATTCGATCATTTGAACGACTTAATTAGTACAACTGACCAAACTATCAACTGTTCTACCTTTGGAGGACCATAAGATCGAGATTACAAATCTGCAAATGGCCATGGAAATGACACGGACAACTTAATATTGAATGGACACTGTACTACTTTGTGTTATCATTTGTTTGGTTTATGTGTGCTGTGTTACTTATACTCGGACCGGTGTATTTTATTAAGTATTATACTCGATTTTGTATGTTTTCTTTGCGACACATTTTTGTATTCCGTGTAAATTGTGATTTCATGTTTTCATATTTTACCATAGTTTGGAGGTATTATAGGACTACTCTGTTATTGTGTTTTCTGTATTTTATGTTAATTATTAATTGCGTTTTTTATTATTTATTGGACTCTTTTATTGCGTGTATGTTAATTTACTTTAGTGTACTTCTCGTTGATTGCAACCGTTCAAGACCAAGGATATGTTAAGGCAAAGTGTTTAGACTTACGCTGCATCGACACAGGACAGTGCCATTTTTGAGAAAATCAATTTGTTTGCCAAGGATTGTGTATTTTCTGAAGGACTTGGGTCTAGCTGGAAGACGAAAGCAACTTTCTCTGGAAAGATTGTCCAGCCAGATCGCTCTCAATGGCAATTGACCTAGGATTTATGGGCGGATTTCCCAAAAAAGGGACTTTTTGTGTGACGTCCTGGAGGTCTTGTTTACTGGACGAAATACTTGGCCTGCAGGTGACCCAATTTTTATTTGGACAATCCTAGGTCCCATTTTTGTCGGTCGAGAAAAAGATCCCACTTTTCTACATTTTTCACATCCTCCAAGATGTGACTTGGAAAGTGGATTTTCTAGACGATGGAAGGAAACGCTTTTCCTTAAAACAGAACTTCAGACAGAACTTGTTGAATCTTTAGACAAGAACGTATTTGGGTCATCGAAGTAGAACGTTTTTGGACATGAAAACAGGTCATCTTTGAACTTTGAAAGATAGGACAATTTTGGACTTCGTAAAGAACACTTGTGAACTCTTAAGGACTTAAGAGAAATCTGGTGAACTGTGTAATTGTGAAATTTACATTTTCGGACTTTTGACACACAATTTGTAGAAATTGTGATAGCAAGGCGTTGCTTTATTCTAAGAACCTTACGGAATTAACATGTAAATTCTACGTTAATTGCGGAGTATTAGGCGATATTAATGTCATTTCGTAGCACATACCTAGTGTGTTAGTCTGTCAGAGATTTTCTTGAAGATTTATTAAGACACAATTTTAACGACAAGAATATAAATACGTTTAGTGGTTTTTTGTTGGCGTTTAGATAAGTTTAACGCAAATGGATATCTCTGTTATTTCTAAAGATACGAGAGTCTTATCGAACTTGAGAAGAAAAATATCATTATTAATAACGAAAATTGAGCTGTTCAGGTAAGAACAGTAATAAACACCAAATAAATAGCCAAAAGAATATTTAGAAAATAAAAAAGTAAGAAATAAACGATTAAATATTAGAATCATAAGTGTCAACTATGAATAAATAAAATATTCCAATTAGACAATATTTTCACGATTTCAACTTTTTACTCATTCAAATAAGCTAATTTAAAGCCAAAAATTTTGTCAATGATTCGAAACTTAGAAGAAGAAATTTTGTCAATGATGCAAAACTTAAAAAGAAAAATTTATCGATGAACCGAAACTTAAAAAGAAAATTTTGTCAATAATTCGAAACTTAGAAAAAGAAATTTTGTCAACGATTCGAAACTTAAAAGAAAAAATTTGTCAACGATACGAAACTTAAAAAAAAAATCTTCGAAATAACAGAGAGATTCACAGGCCCCTTTCAAACGCCCGAAAAAATTGCTAAACAAACGGAAGGGTCCGAATAACGCTGAAAATCCTGTGTGTTTCTTTTTTTACAGGCGCCCATGTCTCTGCCGCATCCTACGACGCTGACGTCGATACACGCGTCGCTGCCCCATTTCCTACCGTCACCGGCCTTGGCATCGCCGGTAGGTTCACCCTCGTCTCAGCAGAACCTAGTGAGCAACGCGCCCTGTTCCACCCTGTTCGTGGCGAACCTCGGCCAGTTCGTGTCCGAACAAGAGCTTAAGGACATCTTCAGCAGGTTAGAGAACATCTTACCGAACGAAAATCCATACGTTATCGAATACTTGTGAAAAAAACAAAACAAATTGAACAACGTACGAATCCTTGTTCCCATATGCGTTCGTCGTACACGACGAGGTTCTCTTTTTTCTTTTTCGTTCTCCATGCGACATGCATTCGCTGGATTACGCTTCCTCTGGTATCATTCCAGCGTAGTACGACCTTCTTATTGTTGAAGTATGTTTCGAGACATCTGCCGCGAGGCAAAACGTTCACGGGAACGACAAACAGACTTGAAGGACTTGAAATGAAGGGAGGTTAGTGGAATAGCTGGAGGATGATTTGTATAGGAGAATTTTTTGATTCAGTTCTACTGTGTGTGCGTGTTACACGCTCACTCGGAAGTTTAAGAATTATTGTAGACTTTTGGAAAATTAAAAAAAGTAAGGATAACTTGTATCGATAATAATCAATATTTATAAAATTGACGATGAAGATTTCATATCGATTCAAGTGAAATTACAAGAATAATGCTAGGTGAAAAATCAAATTTGCATGAAAAATCGTTTATTCTTAAAATTAGTGATGATTCTTGAAATGAAGAATAGCGAAGAAAGGAGGACGTTTAAAAAAGGTCAATTTTGGCATACGGTCGGAACGAAAAATTTTTTTACAGCATGATTCTACGCATCCTGAGGAACGAAAAATGTAATTGTCATTTTTCCCGGAAATGATGGGAAAGTTATGAGAAATGCGGTTCAAGATAAGAGTATGACCATACTTATAACTTATATTCCGTCTCGTTTTCTTCGGATAATGGTCTGTTCGTAAATTAACCGCTTAGAAACTCATACTGAGGATTATTTACAAAGATTGTTGTACATTAGTGTTTAATAA